ATTCTACATTATCTCAATAATTTTTTTTAAAAAATATTTTCTATTAAATTTTCATTCATTCACACCATTTTTAATATTAGGCCGCGCAACGCGCGGGTAACGTACTAGTTTCCTTGAAGCCAAAGCATAATCTTCCTTTAACTTTTAAATATTTATCTATTTAGTCAAAGAACATATAATCCATTAACAGAAATAGTTTTTTTTTTATAGTTTTTAAAGACCGGGAGGGGTGTCTATAGATAGCGTGAGTAAGGCCAAGCTTGATCTATGCTAGATCTTTCATTCTTGAGGATATTTGAATTTCAATCCACCGGCGAAATCGCTTATAGGTTGGGATGAAGCCCATAAACTTGCGTGTCACTCTATGTACTTGATAGCTTCCACCTGTGATTGAGTGTCATGCTTTCACAACCCCGACTATACTTGTCTGGGCGAGCGAATGTTAGGCAGACGACCGGGAAGACTGACTAGTCGCGGGAACCAGGCCGCATGAGGCAGTAATAAGGCGAAAAATTTGTGCCTACAAGTTCCGCTAAAGTTACCCGTATGACGCCTGGCCCCAAGAAAATTCTCCTCACTGAATGCAGCTTCCAGAAATCGAACTCCCCACGCTGAGGTTGCGAGCCCACCTGGCTATACCAAGGCATAGTTTCTTTGACTTTTGTTATATCAATTTGTTGCTCTATGGTCACAACACCTCCAAAAATAAACACCACGGCACAAACTAAAGGCAGCCAAAAAGGCAGTTTCCAAATTTCACAGCTCTTTACATTTATATCAACATCTTAGGGAACAAATGTCAATCTATCTAGTAGAAGAGGGGTATTTGGTTAGTGTTTTAAACTAAAGTTCAATATAAAATATATAACAACTAATCACATAAGAATCATGTTTCAATAGTGATAGTATTGATACTGTGACCCAGTGTCATACCGATACACATTATCAGATGATTCAAATTCGTAATGATACATAGCCTGCGGTGGTTCAACTTCATAGTGCTGCACAGTTTGAGCGGGCTCGTTTTCATCATGATCTGTATGCTGAGGGGATGGAGAACTGGGCTTGCTCGGAGAAGAACTCGCCACGTGGTCCTCATTTTTCTCGACTTTGACTTCAATCAAGTCAACCTCCTCAAACGAGTGGAAAATGGGATGCAAATACGCGTCGGACAAGTAGGATTTCAAGTCGACTTCGGATTCTAAAGCACGGTCTTGTGTGTCCTTCGACATAGCCTCCTGGATTTTGATGTTTCGAAAAAATGGTAAGAAATTAAGAATATAGAGGACTTGGGATAATTGCAAACTACTCCTAACATTTAGCCTTTATCACGAATAATTCCGGTCACTGAGTTATTTTTTAATTTCTAAAACCGTAGAGGGAACGGATGATCTGTTAACTGACAGATATGGGCATGGTTTCAAAATTCAAATTTTGGCAGACATAAGATCAGAGATTTCAACAGCATACAAAGAGGAATTGGTCTCGTGTGCCAGGAGAAAGCGCATTAGTAAAAAAACGTATGTAAAAATTACTGTATTACCTCAAGAGGGTACTTTCTAAATGCAGGTTCGAATCGACTCTTGCAGTATTTGTGGAAGGCCAAAGTCAATACCGGTAGCACCACAAGCAAAGGAGTGGAATTTGCAGCCTCTTTTGTGCTCAATAAGCCCATTAAAAGGAGTTGAGAGATTAGCAAGCTCGCTATAATGCGACCGTGAACATGCGGCCAAAATGCTGCAGCACTCTCATATTGTTGATCATATACGTTTATTACCTACAAAGATATAAAAATAAACATACAGAAATGTTATGCACTTAAGATGATTGGATTATCTGAAATTATGTCATCATAAATTAAGATCAAGAGAATATCATTGAACTCGGTTGATTAGAACTAACCTGATGGCGGTACACAAAGTACGCTAAGGCAAAGAAGACGAGAATAAAAGGAAGAAGGATTGGTGTGACAACCATGTACACAATGCCCAAAAGGAAATACAATTGAAGGCTTGGCAAAGTCTCGGGGAAACTAACACCACCAGGGTTCATTGCCTTCTCCAAGTCCCTCTCAGTTTTTACAATGAACATGTTTTTAAGGTGGAATATGACTAAAGGTTTCAACCGGAGGATTTCACCTGCAATCCCGGCCCAGCCATCGACCATTATGTATGTGATGAAAAAAGTAGCCTTCATTGGTATTGATACACCAATGTTTCTTGGGATTCTGGTACCAAAATAAAGTTATTTTAGTACTTGGGAATGAAATTGCTCTAAGTAAAGGGAACAATATGCAGCATGTGGGTATTTGTATGTTACATATAAAATAAGTTGATTTCGCAGCTCATGCAATAGAGTCGATTTGCCGATCACTATATTAAAGAAAATTGTGATAATACAAAAGTTTTTACAAGGAAATATCCAGATTATTTGTAGTCATATACTTATCACACATTTCATTTAGGTGTCATCAATCTTGTGAATATTTTTATATTATCCCTAAATTGGGATTTAAATTAATAAAAAATAAAATAAAAAAAAAATAATAATGTTGAGATGGAAAGAGCAAGGAATGCATCACAGGTCTTTACGAACAAACTCAGGACCGAGTCTCAATTTTTTGCAGTTTTGACACTCCTTTTTTATGCGCTAAAGTATTGTTTTTATCACACTTGCAAATCATGAAAATCAGGTCAATTGTTGCTTTTACTTGAGAACATCTCATGTCTCATGGATAAAGCAGTAACTGCACCGGCATACAGATTTCTATTTATAAAATTGAAACTAAGAGCATCTCCAATGGACTTTCAATTGCAGAAATATAGAAGAATTTCAATAAAAAATGTCTCCAACCCTCAATGTCTAGATGCTAATCATAATTACGTGGCTGGAGAGAGAAGGAATAAAATCTAGCACTCTGTCTACATGTGGAACTCTTTCTGGACGTGCTCCCACTAACTTTTTTTTTTTAATTAAAAACATCAGATTTGTTGAGAAAATTTTGTTAGTTTTTTTTTTTAATATACAAAAGATATAGATAGTGTGGAGATGGATATAACCACTGGAGAAATTTTTGTGGCATTGAACTCCTACTCATTTTACGTGGATGGAAGACCTTTATTTAATTGCCATATACCCTCCAATTCACATTCATGGTTGGAGATGCTCTAAATATGTTCACTTCTGTATAATAGTAACGGTTTGGTTAAGAAGTTATGCAAGCCATAAAATGCTCCGCATGGCATCTAACTTGTACAAGTCAATATCAGTTATCAACTAGTAAAATAATAAACAAAAGCCACAAAAGTTAGGGAAAACGTACTGAGTGGCTGACTGATGAAGAAAAGCATGAAGCTGCTGGAATGCAGTTCCAGCCACTATACTACCCAAAAACACATTAACGAGCATAAAGTAGTAATATTTTGCAGCCGTCCGTCTTTCCAATACTGATAGCGCCACGTGTCCTTCTATTTTCGACATAATCATCAAAATTGCAGGAAGAAAGTGCAGAAAGATTTTAAGAGCAAGACCAGGAAGAAAACCCTGAAGGAATGACTTCACAAATTTCCTGCAAACAGTACAAGATTGAGCACTAAATCTAAGGATTAACGCATACTAGTGATAATCAGACTGATTATAAGGAATCGTGCAATAAGAAAAAGGGAGGTTGGGTTACTTTTGAGGGGAGGGACAAAACAAAGAAAAAGAAAACACCTAATTTTGAAAAAAAAAAATCTACGGTTGAGGTTTTATTTTCATTGTTCCAACCTTTTAGTTGATTGGGCCGAATTTTCTTGGCACAAAAACATTCACATTTTTCACATCTAATATTTGTAGGATCACAAATAGCTCCGCTTTTCTTCTGGATGCAAATGCAAAATGCAAGATCAAAATATGGAAGTATTCGAAATGTCTGGGAAAGTTGAGGGGTGCTATTTAGACCAGTAGTTATCAGCAGATGACTAGTAATAGATAAAACATGAGGATCTAAAACTCAGCAATGATTTGTGTGATTTCAAAGTTATGTTCGTCCTTTAAGTAATTAGACCAAACCTCAAAGAAGAGTCTGTAATTTTGCCAAAAAAATGATGCAAAATAATGACACAAATGATATGATCCGCCCTTTCATTTTTTACACATTACCATTCAATTAAAGGCCTGAGGAAAGGGGCAACCTTCTCCAGCCCTTCAAGATTAGCCAGTGATTGGACAAACGCAATAGGTATCATGTAAAAGAACACCAATGCAAAAACCGATATTGATATCACGAGCTTCCGAATGGTAAGCGAGACAAAAGGTATCGAAAGATTCTTCCAGTACACGTCTCGTGGCTCGGGAGCCCAATTCGTGAGCCAAAGCGTGGGGTTTTTGCTCTGCTGTGTCTGTGCACAAACAGCGGCTCCCCATCTCGAGTTGAACGACACAAAGGCAGCCGACATTATGGATTTAGGGTCCTTTAAGATTTTTTGGCGTTCTATGGTCATCTAAAAGCAAGAGGACAAAAATATTATTATGTCAGAAAGACACGCACTAACATAAGGAAGCAAGTTACTCTTCCAAAAAAAAATATGAGAAATTAAATTGTTTGAGGGCATAGACATATTGTTATAGAACTTTAAAATTTTATTTGGCCAGTTGCTAAGAGATCCTCTTATCTTTTCGAATCACAGATATTCCA